CTGTGCTGAGCTCTACACGGGTCCCCAATTCACTCTGTACTGCTCTCCAGAAATGTGAAGTAAACTGAGGGCCTCTATCTGATATGATGGAAATTGGCACACCGTGCAACCGAACTATCTCCTAAATATAAATCTGGGCCAACCTCTCTGAAGTATACGTAGTCACAACCAGAATAAAGTGTGCCGACTTGGTCAACCTGTCAACAATCACCCAAACTGCATCAAACTTTCGCAAGGTCCGCGAAAACCAAACTACAAAGTCCATAGTAATGCGTTCCCATTTCCACTCCGATATAGTCATCTGCTGAAGTACGCCACCTGGTCTCTGGTGCTCATATTTAACTTGCTGGCAATTTAGACACCTAGCTACATACTCAACTATGTCCTTTTTCATTCATCGCCACCAATAATGCTGCCTCAGGTCACGATACATCTTTGTAGCTCCAGGATGAATAGAATACCGAGAACTGTGTGCCTCCTCTAGGATCGTTTTCCTCAGTCCATCCACATTAGGAACACATAGACGATTCCGGAGTCGCAGGACACCATCCACGCCAATAGTAACTTCCTTGGCACCACCCCGTAGTACCGTTTCTCGAAGAACCATTAAGTGTGGATCATCATACTGGCGAGCCTTCATCTACTCAAATAGTGAAGACTAGGCCACAACACATGCAAGAACTCGACTAGGCTCTGAAATATCCAATTTCACAAGTTTGTTAGCCACAGATTGAATATCCAAAGCTAATGGCCTCTCCTCTGTTGAAATGAAAGCCAAACTTACCCATACTCTCTGCCTTCCTACTCAAGGCGTCTGCAACGACGTTTGCTTTGCCCGGCTGATACAAGATAGTAATATCATAATCTTTTAGTATCTCAAGCCATCTGCGCTGCCTCAAATTTAGATCCTTCTGCTTGAACAAATGCTGCAAACTGCGATGATCAATGTAAACCTCACAAGACACCCCATAAAGATAATGCCTCAAAATTTTAAGAGCGTGAACAATCGCAGCTAACTCCAAATCATGTACTGGTAATTCTTCTCCTGGGCTTCAGCTGACGTGAAGCATATGTAATAACTCGCACTTCCTATATCAATACACAACCCAAGCCAACGCGTGAAGCGTTACAATATACTGTATACATCCCCAAACCGGAAGGCAACACTAACACTGGTGCTGTAGTCAATGCTGTCTTGAGTTTCTGAAAGCTCACTTCACAATCATTGGACCATCGGAACGGAGCACCCTTCTGGGTTAATTTGGTCAAAGGTGTTGCAATAAATAAAAAATCCTTCACGAACCGATGATAATAACCTGGTAAACCTAGGAAACTCCTGATCTCAGTCGCCGAAGTGGGACGATGCCAATTCTGAATTGCCTCAATCTTTTTGGGATCAACTTTAATGCCCTCACCCGATACAATATGCCCCAAAAATGCTACAAACTCTAGCAAGAACTCACTTTTGGAGAACTTAGCATATATCTTTTGTTCCCTCAACGTTTGAAGCACCACTCTCATATGCTGCTTGTGCTCCTCCTTACTGCGCGAGTAGATCAAAATATCATCAATGAAGACAATGACAAACGAATCAATATATGGCCAAAAAACCATGTTCATCAAATCCATGAACACTATCGGGGCGTTAGTCAAACCGAAGGACATCACCAGAAACTCATAATGACCATATCTAGTCCGGAAAGCAGTCTTCGGAACATCCAAATCCCGAATCTTCAACTGATGGTACCCCGACCTCAAGTCGATCTTAGAGAACACCCTAGCACCATGCAACTGGTCAAATAGATCATCAATACGCGACAACGGGTACTTTTTCTTAATAGTGATTTTGTTCAATTGAAGATAATCAATGCACATTCGCATCGTTCCATCCGTCTTCTTCACAAATAATACCGGCGCACTCCAAGGCGATACACTCGGTCTGACGAACCCTTTGGCTAGTAACTCCTCAAGCTGTTCTTTTCACTCCTTCAATTCTTTCGGAGCCATGCGATACGGTGGGATAGATATAGAGTGGGTATCTGGAGCCAAGTCAATACAGAAATCAATATCACGATCAGGTGGCATACCTGGAAGATTTGAAGGAAATACATCGGAGAACTCCCGAACTACAGGCACTGAATCAATATCGGAGTCTCTGCAGTAGTATCCCGAACATAGGCTAGATAAGCTAAACAACCCTTCTCAACCATGTGTTGAGCCTTCATAAAAGAAATAACCTGATTAAATGCACTAACAGACGAACCCTTCCACTCCAGCCTAGGCAATGCTGGAATAGCCAAGGTAACAGTCTTGGCATGACAATCTAGAGTAGCATGATATGGAGATAACCAGTCCATGCCCAAAATAATTTCAAAGTCGGTCATCTCAAGCAATAGAAGATCTTCTCTAGTTTCATAACCATAAAATATTATTATACAGGACCGATATATCTGATTCACAACAACATAATCACCCACAGGAGTGGACACATAAACACGAGTACTCAAGGACTCACGAGAAACACCTAGGAAATGAGCAAATAGAGATGACACATAGGAATATGTAGATCTTGGATCAAATAATACGGAGGCATCTTTGCCACAAACATAAATAATACCTGTAATCACGGCATCTGAGGCCTCTGCATCTGGTCTGGCCGGAAAAGCATAAAACTGAGCTGGAGCGCCAACCGGCTGGTCTCCGCCTGGCTGACCTCCACCTCTAGGATGACCCCTGCCCACCTGTCCTCCACCTCTTGGTGGTCGGACGACTGGTGGAGCAACTGGTGTGGTAATCATAGGTTGTTGATCCTGCTGCACTGGTCTACCCCGCAGCCTGTGGCAGAATATCCGCATATGACTGGGATTCCCACACTCGTAACAACTCTTCGTGCGATGGGCTGGTGACTAAGAATCTGACACTGGGAACCTGAATACCCACTGTAAGAACCCTGAATAGCTGGTGGGCAATAAGAACTCTCTAGCATAGCGCTGAAATAAGGTCACACTGGAGCACCCCGAGGAGGCGATGGTGCTAGATATGGGGGCCTGCTGGACTGCCCTCTCACGAACTATCCTCTGCCCCCAGACGAAGCACCTCTGAACTCTCCAGAATACCTAAACCGCTTATCTCTCATAACCTGCTCTTGGCTCCGCTGATGCACACCCTCAATCCTCCGGGCTATCTCCATGACTAGCTCATAAGAAGTACCCATCTCAACGTCTCGAGCCATAGTGGCCTGAATGCCAGTATGTAAACCCGCAACAAACCTCCATACTCTCTCCGCCTCAGTAGGGAGTATCATAAGTGCATGGCGAGATAACTCAGAAAACCTCGCCTCATAATCGATCACTGACATCTGACCCTGCTGGAGCTGCTCAAACTGAAACTGCAACTCTTCCCTCTGGGAGGGTGGAATATACTTGTCCAGGAAGATACGGGTGAACCTGTCCCAAGTCATGGGAGGAGAATTTGCTGGTCTGCCAAGAATATAAGACTTCCACCATTTATGGGATCTGCCCTCTACCTGAAAAGTAGCAAAGTCAACCCCATGAGACTCCAATATCCTCATGTTGTACAGTCTGTCTCTTCACCAATCAATAAACTCCCAGGGATCCTCATGTCGCTCACCCCCAAAGACAGGAGGATGTAGTCTAGTCCATCTATCCTTTAGTTTATGCAGATCAGCGGCTGCAGCTGGCTTGGGCTCAGGTGTAGCGGCTGCCACTAGTTGGGCTCCACCCACGGGTAGTGCACCCTAGGTCTGATATACAGCAGTTGCCTGCCCATGAGCCTGCGCAGTAGGGGTCTCTACTCCCCCGCCCTCCTGAGATGTGGCTGGGTATGCCAGAAATAAACCGACCTGAGTCATAGTCTCCATGAACCGCAGCATACGACCCATGACATCCTGGAATCCCGGTGCATATGTGAAATCCACCGGACCTGGCTCTGCCACAGGAACCTCACCTTGTTCCTCAATAATGGGATTCTCTACTGGACCCACTGGTGGCATAACTGGAACAGTCCTGGGACGTCCTCGTCCCCTACCATGGGCTGGAGCCCTCCCTCGGCCTCTAGCAACTGGGGGAGTAGCTCTTCCCTGGTCTGGAGCCTCATTAGAGTGCGTTCTCACCATCTGTGAGAGAGTAAGAGAAAGATATTTAGTACTACATCAATTCCACGATGGAAGATGAAGAAAGGTAGTTTCCTAACACCCTATAGCCTCTCGAAGATAAGTACAGACGTCTCAGTACCGATCCGCAAGACTCTATTAGGCCTGCTCATAACTTGTGAGACCTACGTGAACCTAGTGCTCTGATACCATGTTGTCATGACCCAATTTCACCTATAGGTCGTGATGGCGCCCAACACAATGGCTAGGCAAGCTAGCTAGCAATTAAAACATACATCAATTATTTTCAGAAAATTTTAAGTACTTTTGTTCTTTTACTAACAATATTAAAGAAAAATAGAAAAGATACATGTTAATTTAAATCCAAGAAAAGTAAGATACTCTCAATTCTACCAATGTGTGTGCCAAGACCTGGTGTCACTAGTGTAAGAGTATCTAGTAGATTATATAAAAATAATTTCAAATACTGTCTGAAATAAAATAGATAGAATAAAGTCTCCAGGAAGAGGCATTGGTTGCTGCAGAATGACTCAGAATGGCAGCTCACCACTAAGCCTTTGGGTATCGTGGGTGCGCGTCGATATGTCCGACTATAGCACATGTTTCAGGTCCTGCACAAAAGGTGCAGCAAGTGTAGCATGAGTATGTAAACAGCGTGTACCCAGTAAGTATCAAGCCTAATCTCGAAGGGGTAGAAACGAGATGGTCGACTTTGACACTCACTAAGGGTCAACAATAATAAATAGAATAAAATAGAAATATTTAAATCAACATGATTCACAGAGTTAAAAATAATTTTTATTTAACCAACAGAAATAATTAAATTCCTTCAATTACAACAATTTCCAATCTATTAATTAAATTCACAAGCTACAATAAAGATATCAAGGTATCTTATAATTATTATTATTATTAGGCATAATTTCTGCCGAGGTCGTATAAACCAATCCAGAGTGTCGTGTACACTGCCGAGGGACGTGCGGCGCGATCCATAGATGCATCTATACTGCCGAGGCGTTCGGATCGCTCCACTAGAAAGAAGGACATTTTCTTATGTACCTCCGGAATGAGAGTGTATTTATTAAAGGGTTAATACGAGAGGATGCACAATTCCTTTTAACAATTAAATTAATTCAAACAAAAATTCAAGTATATGAGATTTCAATCTCTTACTATTTTCTCTAATAATTCACAATATATATCAAATAATTTAATTAAATAAAGAATACAATTTACAAACATAATTCATGCTTTGAGTCCTAAACTACCCGGACTTAGCATAGATAGTAGCTACGTACGGACTCTCATCACCTCGTGCGTACGTTGCCCCCCAAAATTAGCAACAATTTTTATTTTTAATCAACTATGGGGTAAATTCCCCCTCACAAGATTAGACAAGAGACTTACCTTGTCTCAAAGTCCACTTTTCCGATCAAAATGTCGCGAAAACCTCAATTCGATGCCGAAAAATTTGAAACTAACCAAAAGTTATATACAATAATTAATACACGTTCAGTTCGAAATTCATCTATTAAATAAATTACCCTATCCAAAATGGTAAAATTTCTATAATTCACCCCGGTCTCACGTACCCCGATTCCAAAAAATTTCGGATGAAAATGTTACCCATAATGTCAAGAACTCAATTACATAATTTCTATCCAATTCCATAATCATTTTTGTGGTTAAAATCTCATTTTTATAAAATTTTAGGTTTTTCATCTAAACCCTTGATTTCTAAGATTTACAGGTTATAATCTACCTATAATCTATGTATGTACACTCAATGGGTGTAGAATTAACTTACCTCCAAGATGCTAGTTGAAATCCTCTCTCAAAAAGCTCTGAAATTGCCCAAACATGGAAGGTTTTGCCTTTTGCGATTTTCGCACCTGCGGATGGTGTACCGAACCTGTGGAAAAGCCTCGCAGGTGCGAGTTTTCCTTCACTACCAAGGTTCGCATCTGCGCCCATTTTCTCGCACGTGCGCATCGCAGGTGCGTCCAAAGTTCCGCACCTGCGGTGGCATACCTGCTCCTCACCTTCGCACCTGCGGCCGGTGGCTCGCACCTGCGGTTGCCCATGCACTGGTGCAATCATACCAGAAGCTGGAAGCTTCAGCTCTTCTTCAAAATTCCAAAATTGGTCTGAGCCCCGTCCGGTTAACACTCTGGGCCCCCTGGGCCCCGCCCGAACATACCAATAGGTTTAAAATCATAAAACGGACTTGCTCGAACTCTCGGAACGTGTAAAATAACATCAAATCTAAGAATCATACCTCAAACCAAATTGATTCAACTTAGAAATTTCAAATTCTTCAAACTTACCCGAACGCGCCGAAATATACTTATACTACTCGGAATGACACCAAATTTTGCGTGTAAGTCTTAAATCACCGTACAGAACTATTCCCAAACTCGGAATTTCAAACGGACCTCGATTACTCCAAAACCTACTCCAAACCAAATCTAAAGTACTTTTAACCTTCAAATAGTTGCTTTTCACTATTAAGCACTAAAACTCTTTCGGGTTATCCAAAACCCGATTCGAACATACGCCCAAGTCTGAAATCATCATACAAACCTATTGGAACTGTCAAATCCCGATTCCGGGGTCGTTTTCCCAAAATGTTGACCGAAGTTAAACTTTGCCTTTTAAGGCCAACTTAAGGAACCAAGTATTCCGATTTCAACCCGAACACTTCCAAATCTCGAACCAACCATCCCCGCAAGTCATACATTAATAAAAGCACATACGGGCCATTTTATTTAAGGGAAGGGGGTTCTAAAAGTCAAAATGACCGGTTGAGTCATTTTAAATTTTACTTTAAATCACAAGCAAATTTATTTATGCGCACGTTAATGCTATGAACAATTAATGGTAAAGAATGTAGGATAGTGACTTCTTGTATATAAGTGTTTAATTCCTCCTTATTCTCAACTATTTTATGTGATGACCCAAAAGGTGATTTTTAAATTTGATAATTAATTTTGTATTCTAAGACCTCAAAAAGTACTATTTATTATTCCTCGACTTGCGTGCACAGTCTGTATAATTTTCCAGAAAGTTTTTATGTGAAAAATGGATTAAAATATGAAATAGAGCCTTAAAACTCAACTGAGTTGACTTTGGTCAACATTTTGAGTAAACAAACTCGAATTAGTGTTTTGACAATTCCGGTAGGTCTATATCGTAATTTGGGACTTGGGCGTATGCCCGGAATTTAATTTGGAGGCCCCTAGCTCAAGTTATGGCTATTTAACGGAAAGTAGTAATTTAAAGGCTAAAGATTTTTAAAAGTTTGACCACAGATTTGACTTTTTGATACTGGGGTCGGAATCCGATTTCGAAAATTGGAATAGCTCCGTTATGTCATTTATGACTTGTGTGCCAAATTTAAAGTCATTCCGGATTCATTTAATATGTTTTGGCACGAGATTTGCAAATTGAAAAGTTTAAAACTTAAAAGTTTGAATCGAGGTGTGAATTGTAATTTCAGCGTTGTTTGACATGAAATGAGACCCCGATTAAGTCCATATTATGTTACGGTACTTGGTGGTATATTCGGACGGGGTCCCGAGTACCTCGAGTGTGATTCGGATCAAAATCAAATCAAACTATGAACTTAAGCAAATTCTGGAAATCGCTGCCTCTGATGTAATCGCACCTGCGAGGGTCTTGGCCACATGTGCGATGCCGCAGGTGCGGCGTGGTTGGCATAGATGCGGGACTGGGGTCTCCGTAGGTGCGGCGATTTTTGCGCAAAAGCGCGACCGCAGATGCGGTCCTAAGCGTCGCAGCGGCAGAGGCTGGGCAAGTGAGGTTCGTAGAAGCGAAACTCCTTCCGCAAAAGTGGATGCGCAGGTGCGAGCCCATGCACCGCAGGTGCGGGCCCATGCACCGCAGGTGCGGAAATGCCTGGGCAGTGTTAAGAACGAGAGCTTCCGAGATTTTTCTCATTTTGATCATTTTGGGCGTCGGGTAAGACGATTTTTGGGAAATTTTCACGGAAAAACATTTGGGGTAAGTGTTCCTTATCCAATATTGATTATATTTCATGATTACATACTCATTTACATCATGAATCCGTGAATTTATGGAAGAAAAATCAGATTTTTATAAAATCTTCAAAAAATGTAAAATGAAGATTTGAAAGCCAATCCGATGTCGGAATTCGATAATTTTTGTATGGTTGAACTCATATCGGAATCGGTGTTTGGATTTCGTGAGTTTTTCCGGGATTCGAGATGTGGGTCCCACTGATATTTTTGAGATAAATATCGGATTTTAATCCGAAAAATTAGTAAATTCCTATGAAATTAATTCCTACGATTTATATTGAGTATATTGAATTGTTTATGACTAGATTTGAGGGTTTCGAACACAAATTCGCGAGGTAAAGGTTTATTGGATTCTTGGAATTTGGTTGCAAGGCGAGGTAAGTGTCGTGGTTAACCTTGACTTGAGGGTATAGAACCCTTGAATTATTTTCTATGTGAATTTCATGTGTAACGATGTATAGGCAAGGTAACAGGTGCCTATACTTTGTCAAATTAATTGTTTGATTAATTATTTAAACATCTTAAACTGTTTAAGGCACGAATTAATCGTTATAATAATTGTTTCACTCAGGTTCCTTGTCAAATATAAATTCTTGAATTCCTGCAATAATTATTACATGATTATTTGGCTTATGTGTCTTAATTGCTATTTGACATTTAACATATTAAATATTAAACTGCCTATTTTCTCCCCGATTTCCACAATTA